TTTAGCTAAAGCTTGTTGAGTGATGTACAAGGTGGGATTATAGTATTGCAGAATTGAAGGTGGGTTTGTGCCCCTCACACTACAAGTTACAGGGCTCCAATGTCATGCTGCTGCACTATCAGAAAAACTAGAAACCATGCAATTTCCATTCCGTTGTTCTTTCAAAGAATTTAACTGAAACCAACCTGGCTTTCAATGCTTCAGTTAATCATCTGAGGTTGTCGTCCATCACTTCCATGATGGAGTATGCCAGTATAAATAATTTGCAAGGCATTTTCAAAGAGCATCTGAGTCTATCTGTTGAGAAAAATAGCATATGCCGCATTGGCAGTGATAGTCTGATTACCTGTTTTACTAAGTTGTTTTGATCGGGTGCTTCGCAATAGAATTCAATTTTTTTTTAAAAGTCACACTTAGATAGAAAACAACATAAAAGTGGTATAGAGCGATTGGAGGGACAATAATTATATTGTATTTCTAGTTTAAACTAAACAGAAGTGGTTATACATATATATGATGAATGACTGAATGAGCATAAGAAGTTGAGGAAAAAATACTAAAACAAAAAAAAAAAAGATAAAATGGATTATCTACAAAAAAAAATCAACTGGTTTCTGTCTTCCATCTAGGATTTAGGAATTCTAGCAAATAATGTTTTGTGAACCCTGTTTCCGGCAACTTAAACAAAGTTCTAAAGAATGCATTTCCTTGTTTCGCACATGTTGTAATTCTGGTGTGCTTGTTTTAGGCATTCATCGGCACTTTGTTCTCTATGGCCTCATGGAATATTTGCGAAAAAGGTAGCCACATGAAAATTTCAACTTCAAACACTACAGTGAAAATATGTGGAATCTGGTCTGACCATATGTTACATGTTACAGCCTTGACCGACAATTCTCTTCTGATGAAGTTTTACAACTCTTGGACCGCTTCTTTAACCTAGAAATGCTGGTATCTGGAAACCCATATCTGAATTACTTTGTTATATTCCCTTTTTGTTTGTCTTATATTTGTGTGGACAGTTGGATTAGATTAAATCTATATCTGCATAAATTTACCACAATTTCACATTAGTATGGAAATTCTACAGTTGGGTCGCAACTCACAAGTTTTACTTATGATGATTAATAAATGAAGAAACCAGAGGATGATGAAAAGGACAACTTCAGTCAGGGGGAAGAATTTTCCTTGCCAGAGAGTTTTCTCAACAAGGAAGAATAATAGCAAGTAACTTGGTAATGTCTTAGGAGGTAAGCACATGCACTACAGCTTATAAGTCATGGAATCATGCCAGCGTTTTTTTCTCTCCCGTTGTTGTCTTCTGACATTACGTGCAAACATGATGATAAGCTGGTCGCATCTTGAAGGTACTTTGGGCGTCCTTTGGAAGAGAGATCAGAACGCTGGTTCTTAGTGATTCACACTTTTTTCTAGTAGCATTGTCGTCCAGAACATCGGTTGCGAGGAGACACTGAACACTGAAGTAAAGAAACACATTTCCTATAGCTGTGGTTGTGTTTATTGACTGTACAGCTTTTGTTCACTAGTAGTGTAATCAATTGAATTGTGCGGTTGCCTGGAGGGTGATTGGGTGAACAAAAAGCAAGGAGGGGCGATTACAAAAGCTACTTTCTGTTCGGTTGGCTGGATCGTATTGTTGCTGGTTCGTTTATGTGAGAGAGAAGTACTGCTGGCTGGTTCGTGTGAACAGTAGCCATGTGAGGGGGGCAGCCCAGCCAGGCCCTGCCCAGCGATCAGGCCAACTTGGAGCAAGTTCTCTGATCATGACTATAGGCGCAGTCCTATAAAGCATCCATGAGGATTATAGGCTATCAAAATTACCGCTGTCCTACCATATTGCCCTAGTAGTCGCTGAAAGTCACGCCTTAGAGCAAGTTCAATAAGCTTGGCCATAAGATAAGCCAGGTCAGCAACAGATTAGTATAAGGGCGGTCTTAATGGGGAGTTTCATTATGTTGTTTTTGAGACTGCCATGTTATCTGAAATGAAATGAAATTTGGATGAAACACCAACTCTCAATGGAAAGTTTCATTTCATGGTTTCATAGACATTTAATTTCAAGACTTATTGAGAGTTGGTAATCGTATCAAGAGAGTTTCATCTAAATGAAACCTATTTTTTCTCTCTCTTCTTAAATATACTGCCATGTCATAAAAAATGCCTACACCCTCCGTGCAGAAAAGAATGCAATTCTAGCACGGTGTCATAGTTTTGTATCTTAAGTTCGATCAATTATAGATAAAAAAATATTAATATTTATGATGTCAAATAAATATCATTAAATTAATTACGAAATGTATTTTTATAATAAATTATTTTGAAGCCATAAATATAAATAATATTTATTAGAAATTTAGTCAAACGTAAAATATTTTTACTGGCAAACAGCACGTAGTTGTATTTTTTTTTCGAACGGAGGAAATACGTGGCAACGTATTTAATACAAATAAAACTTTCACCAAGACCGGCTAATACTCGTACCATACAATAATCTAGTCTCCTCTCCCATCTTAAATATTATTTTTTATTATGTGTGGGACCCACCACTCTTCCCTCTCCTTCCTCCATCTTCTTCCCGCACGGTTCGCATGTTCCATCTAGCAGTTATCCTGTTCCAAGGTCCTCCCTTCCCTACGCTTGCTTGGGGGCAGCAGCTTGCCCATCTGGACACGAGCGACGGCGCGGCCGGAGCACGGACACTGGCGACGGCGGCCGGAGCGCGGACGCAGCGACGTCGGCAGCGACGGTGGCGATGTCGCGGCGGCCGACGCATTGCACGGACGGCGGCCGCGACGAGGACGCGACTGGCGCACAGATGTCGGACAGAGCGAGGATGGCCGCGGCCGGCGCGCGGACACTGCCCGCGACGGCGGCTTGCTAGGCACGGACACGAAGCCGGCGAGGGAAGGGCTGCGCGTGGCTGTTTATTGCGCTCGAGGGGGTCATGGCCGCACGGGAGCCTAGGTGCTAGCGGGTCCACAAGGCAGGGGGAAGTGTGCAAGCGCTCGGCGCCACAACTCGCGCCAAGGGGCTTGGCTCTTCAGGATTCTCTCTCCTCCACCTAGACTTTTGCTTACGTGGCTCGGCTATAAAACAAGCTCACGTGTATTATTGTACCTGTTCTTAATACTTCACTCATTGTGTCACGACATTTTGTAATACAAACTTTAATAGAGTCCCCAGTGGCTAGCTAGAAGCTAGTTGACTAGGGTTACTACACAATGCAAGCTATTGTTTAGTTCTCAAAAGTGTACTATGCAAAAAGAAGATTCTCCATCACATCAAACTTGCGGTACATATATGGAATACTAAATGTAGACGAAATCAAAAACTAATTGCACAGTTTGCTTTAACTTTGCGAGACGAATCTTTTGAGCCTAATTAGTCAATGTTTGGACAATAATTCACAAATATAAATGAAATGCTACAGTGGAGAATCGTACACTATGCAAAGTTTGTAGGTGCAAACTTTGCCGAACTAAACGCGCCCCAAATTTATTAGAGTAAGTATAATAAGATGATGTAAGTAGGATGTAGCAAGTGTCACATTAGATTTGCGTTAGATAGGGTGGAGGAGAGAAGAGAGGAAAGAGAAACGGTAGTTTATGTACATATACATGGTTTAAGAAACTCTGTGAGAGAATAATGTGGATCAAGTATTAATGTGTAAGGGTGGGCTATTAGAAGGTTGTAGATGATATGAAGATAATATATAGTTATCAGTTGGTTGTATTAGTAGCTATGCTCTTAGGGCGTCCTAGTGATACTATCGATTTCGTTAGCTTAGCCGGAAGTGAGAGAGTGAAAAGAAATATTATCTTATTTCCTTCCTCCTCACCTGCAGAGTATTGCTGTAAATCCGTTCTCGCAATTCCTCGATCCTAGATTATCTCGTCGCTAGAGAGATGCTTTTTCATTGTTTAATATTTCTACGTCGGACGAAGCTGGCGACGTAGCCCGTCATTGAGGACGCCCTTAGAGCGTCTCTAGTGGCTAGTTAGTATCTAGCTGACTAGGATAGTATAGGATTGCTACCCATGTGGCAATTGGCATAATAAGTGTGTCCTAACACTGGCTCTAAAGCTGATAAATATAGAGTACTAACGCAGGCAATGTCAACACTTAACGTAAAACTGAAGTAGTTTTTGTTTTACAAAGCTAAAAGAAAGCATATGTTTTTTTACAAAACTGAAATAAAAGCATATGTGACATTGTAGTTGATACTCTGAAATTTGAATCCCTTGCTAGATGCCAATAGATCTTAGAAGATGTTTTTTTACGGTTGATAAGTTGACTGAAGCTGATTTGTTGTAAGAGAAAAATATTCTTTATGGTTGATAAGTTCAAGCGCACTTGGAACCGCACAGATTTCCAGCTTCCTTTCCCATTTGTCGTACTCGACTACTCGTATCTCTCTGGTTGGGAACTTGGCACCGGTACAGCACTAGTAGTACGCCGTCTGTTTTGCTGGTGCACGATGAACTTTCCGTTGAGCCAGCCGAGCTTCGTGAGTTCTGACCGAAGAGCCAGCCGAGCTTCGTGAGTTTCCGTTGAGAGCGGCACGGCACGCAACTCCCCCCAGAAGACCAAAACAGCCATGGCCGGCCCATAGAAAATCCACGGGCCATGGCCGGGCCGGCGGTTCCTCCCAACCTCCACTTCCCAAGCGAAAATCCACGGGCTCGCAATCGGAGCAATCGACAGCAGATAAACCCCGTGCCGGACGTCAGGACGCCCCACCAGTCAGCGAGCGAAAACCCGCGGCGGCACGAGCGCACGCACCCACGGCGTGCCCGTTGGGCGCTTGCTTGCCGGCCTGGACAGGCCGCAGCGGGCGGCACATGGGCTCCATTCCAAAGCGCATCTCCTTTCCCCTGCCTCCCCCCACTCCCGATGTGAATGTGAGTCAGTGACACCCGCTGCGCCGCCGCCGATCCCGTCCCCGGCCCGCCGAGAAACCCCCGCTGGATCACGCGCCAATGCCCCGCCACGCCCACCACGACCCGGCCCCGCCCGCCTGCTGCTCCTGCTGCTGCGGATGCGCGGGCGCGGCGCCGTGCTACTACCCGGCGCCCGCGCCGGCCCCGCCCAGCTCCGCCTCGTCCGACCAACTCCTCCACGCCATCGCCGCCCACCTCCTCCTCAGCTCCCCGGCGCCCGCTCAGCCGCAGCTGCAACTCCAGCCCCAGCCGCCGCCGCCCCCCGCGCAACACGCCACGAATCCTTATCCCTATCCGTATCCCCACCCCCAGCAGTACCAGTACCAGTATCAGCAGCAGGAGGCCAAGCCCCATGCCTACACCCATCCACCGCCGCCGCCGCAGCAGCTGAAGCCCAATCCATCCGGCGACCACGGCCACCTCCTGCTCCACTCGCTCCTGCGTCGGGTGGCCGCGATCGAGTCCGCCCTGCCCCGCTGCTTCCCTACCCCTCCTCCGGCTCGCCGACCGCCCCACCCGAACTCTCGCCCGCGCCGCGCGGCCCGCTACCAGGAGGAGGAGGAGCAAGAGGTGGAGGAGGAAGACGAATCGGAACCGGAATCGCCGCCCTCCGCGTCCAGTGACCGCGCGGCGCGGACGATCCAGGCCCACTTCCGCCGCTTCCTGGCGCGGCGCTCCCGGACGCTGCGCCAGCTCAAGGAGCTCGCCGTGCTCCGGTCCAAGGCCGCGGCGATCCGGGGGTCGCTCTCCGGCCGCCGCGGGGGCGCCGACCCCGCCGCCGTCTCCGAGGCGGCCATGGGCCTCCTTCTCCAGCTCGACGCTATCCAGGTGATGGAACCCTTGCCATGAACTCGTTCAGTTCGGTCCGTATGCCATTGGTGTGCTGGGTTTTGAATTGGGTTTTGGATCAGGGAGAGGACCCGATGATCCGGGAGGGCAAGCGAGCGGTGAGTCGGGAGCTCACCCGGATCTTGGAGTTCGTTGACAAGGTGCTGATCAAAGAGCAGGAGCACCATGACGGCTGCAATGCTGCATTGGTGGCAGGTCGCCCGTCTGTGAGCAAGAAGGTGAGTTTCTCTGGTAATGGTCAGGTTCACACGCTCAATGGAAAGGCAGAGAATGGGAGTGAGGTTGATGAGGGCTCTGAAGGCTCCAGCTCTGCTGAGTCTGATGAGGTGAAGCCTAGCAAGAGAAGTGCCTATGGTAAGCCTGGGCTTGCAGCACCAATGCCGGTGCACATGGAGTCGAGGCTGGTTGCTGGTGAAAGGAGATAACTTGTCATCAGCATCATGCGATGCCATTTCAGGTTTATAATCTCGTGTTTGTCATCTCACTGCTACATTTCCACTGCTGGTTCCCACTGATGTTTCATGAGGGACGTTTTTTTTCTCAAATTGTAGAGTATGTACAACTGTGGACTCTAGAACTAGGGCAGTTGTATGCTCAGACGACCTCTTTGTTAGCTGCATTTTGTTGCAGGATTGTACTACTGTACTAGTACCAGCTTTAGAACTGAGAATTGTAGTTTGGATCATTTGTCTCAACGGAAATGTTTAGGATCTTGGATAATCATATATTTCTTGTTAGCCATGCTCATTATGATCGTTGATCGATGACTCGTGGTCACAGGGCCACCATGTTCTGATTGTACTTGTACCCTTGCTGGTTGAAGATTGCTCCTGAACTGATGTTGCCATCGTCTTCTTTGACCAACTCATGCTGATAATAATTTAAACCTGTGCTGTTTGGTTGCATTTATGAATTGTTGCTTATGACATGTGATTTCTATAGTCTATAGCTGTTTCTTCAGAAGTTGAGGCATGTTAATTTGTTACTCCCTTCATTCCAAGTTATAAGGCGTTTTGACTTTTCTAGATGCGTAAATTTTACTATGCACTTACATAGTAATATGTTTAGATACATTGTAAAAGCAATGTGTCTAGAAAAGCAAGAAAAAGCCATAACGTCTTACATTTTTGAACGGAGGGAGTATGTTTGAAGTATTCAGTTGTCACGTTTTCTTTTTTGCCTTCCTTGATTATATATAAAATGTAATTAAGCTTTCATGTATCCTCTTGCCTTATTCTTATGAAATTTGAGGGTTTCTTTGTGTTGTCATGCACCTACAATCTCTTATAGCCTGTCATCATCTTGTAGAATTTGAGGGTTTCTTTGTGTTGCCATGCACCTACAATCTCTTTTTAGCCTGTCATCATCTTGTAGATATCACGAGACCCTTAATTACATGGTCATCAATACACCAAAACCTACTTAGGGGTCTTGATGTTTTTCACTAGCTTTTTCCTTTTTCTCTAAAATCTACTCAGGTCGGTTTTTGAAACTAGCTAGGCTGATTTTTTAAGTGTTTTGGTATTTTCACCCATTCGTCGTTTTTTTGGTTTCCACTTTTCTAGCATCCGCCTAAGGTCAGTATGTATGTTGTTTGGCAAGAGTTACAATAAAGGCTCATGTTCATCTTTGAGATAGAGCCAACATATCACTTGTCTGATCCAGGAGAAAACTTTGAGTCTTCCATTTACCCCTTATGTCACCTTTTTGGTCCTTCGCATCTAATTGATAAGTAGGCATGCCCAACTTCAAGTGTGCCAAATTGTTTGAATATTCTTTTCTCATGCCACTAAATGGTTCATTTTTGGTATAAAACATGTTATTCTTCTCCCCGTTTTTTACCGTCGTAATTTCACGCATTCATCTAGGGGGTGTTTGGTTCTTTAGTCGCTCCTAAAATTCATGTCACATCGAATATTTAGATACTAATAAAGAGTATTAAATATAGATTAATTACAAAACCAATTACATAGATGGAGGCTAATCCGCGAGATGATTTTTTAAGCCTAATTAATCTGTCATTAGCACATGTTTACTGTAGCACCATGTTGTCAAATCATGGACTAATTATGCTTAAAAGATTCGTCTCGCAAATTAGTTGCAAGTTGTGTAATTAGTTTTGTAATTAGTCTATATTTAATACTCCATGCATGTGTCTAAACATTCGATGTGACAAGAATTTTAGGAACCCCGTAGAAACCAAACAGGGCTAAATATGAAAGTATGATCATATCAAACTATATACTGCGTACTTTCGTCATTTCTAGTAGGGTGTTAAGATTTGAAACAAAAATCATCGGAGGTATAATTATGGTTACCGATGTATCTTTCGAAACTATGAGGCATTTTGTCATTTCTCAATTTATAGCTTTTGCTATGCACTTAATTTGCCTAGATATAAACTATGTTTAGATACATAGTAAAAACAATATATTCAGAAAACATCTTATAATTTAGAATGGACAGAATACAATATAACACCATTTTCCTAAAATTCAGTCTCATAAGAATGGCTATTTGCAATATGCACCGCTTAACAAGTCTAGGATCTAGATTTTGTTTCTCAAAGTTCGTGCACCTAACTCATTGGTAAGTTCAGGGTCCACTTATGTGTTTAACTTATGTGTTTAACTAACTTTTATGTAGGTCAAAACTTTGGAAGACTGACTTTTAAATATTCTAATAAACCTACTAAAACGAGCATATTTGGATTTAGAGCAAATCAAACATATCTCATGTCGTTATTACATTTTTGAGTGCTTGTGGGTAAAACTCTAGTGGGGTTCCTACTAAAGGCCTGTTTAGTTGGCAAAAAAATTTGGTTTTGGGTACTGTAGCACTTTCGTTTGTATTTAGCAATTAGTGTTTAATTATGGACTAATTAGGTTCGAAAGTTTCGTCTCGTGATTTCTCACCCAACTGTGTAATTAGCTTTTTTTCGTCTATATTTAGTACTCCATACATGTGCCGCAAGATTCGATGTGATGGATACTGCGCAAAAAAATTTAGGCTTTCGGTGGAACTAAACGCGCCCTAAGGCGCTGAAATTCTCCTTCAAAACCCTCATTTCTGGAGCTCTAGAAGCGACCTCTACCTTTCAGTTTTATAGGTTGCTCTCTGCACGACCGTCTGTACTGCTTGTGCCCGAGCGCTGCGTGCTCCGTTGCTGGCTGCCTAACACCTTGTCGGCTTTGCTCTCGGTGCCTTGGCAACTTCTGCCCGACGCGACCTCCTTCCCAGTGCTTCCATCCACGGGAGCTCCTCTCCCTAGCGGGGCCTCCACCCCTACCGCCCTTCTTACCGGTGTGTCTAACCTCGGCGCAGGCTCCACCCCACGTGTCCTCCCCGACACCATCCCCCCTGCAGGGCCGACCATGACCCCCTCCTCCCTCTCTGAAATAGGCCACCGCTGCTCGGCCATGACGCATGGCAGTACAAAGGATGGTGCAGGTCATGATGTAGAAAGAGGATTATGCCCGTGGATGTGAGATAGAGGGAGAAGAAAAGAAAAAAAATATTGGACCCAATGACGGGTGGGTCCCATGATTTTGAGGGCTGGGATGTAGGAGGTGTTGTTGAGTTGTGATTGAATTTGAGAGCTCAAAAAATAGGGGAACCTTGATTTAGGGGCTATTGCTAAAGTTGCTCTAATGGGTTTCAGCCTGTTCGGGAGACCGTAAACGATCGTGGATTATTTACTACTGGCTGGTTTGGTGTGAGAGAAAAATACTTTCCAGCTGAAAATTTATGATCGTATACGAGCAAGCCCAGCCTGCCGAACAGGCTCTTTGTCTACGCCATTGATCAGGTGAAAAATGTAATCCCTCGCCTGATTTTTTAATTTTTCTTTGGTTCCCTTTTCTTCTTCCTAACATGCATGGAAGGGAACTGAAGCTTGAGTAAAAACCTTCTTTCACACACTCTAATTTTAGTTAACGTCAACTTATGTTGGACTAGTATAATGCTCGTGCTAACACAACAGATTTATCTTGGAGACGCATATGAAAACAATCAATGTTTTTTTTCCATAGTTCAACTTTTACACAATATTTTTGAGCATGTATACAATCCGGGAAACTAAGAAGTCATAGTAAAGTTTTTTCTCATATAACCATTTAAGTTACATTCTGTCTAATTCCTTAATCATGGCTTGGAGATCTTTAGGAAAGTTGCCAAAATATTTGTTTGCATGGCTCTTAAGAATGTCCCCCCAAAAAATTCATCCTCAGTGAATTTGATAGCTGTGCATAGTAGATATAATAAGTTAAGTTATTAATTTTGTATGTAGTGTACGGAATATAGTTAGAGAATATATGCTTACAGTGTTGATCGATGGCAATCTTACACCATCCCATGACTTCATGAAATTGTATACAAGGAAGCCTCCTAATTTCCTGGAGATGAGCATTTGTTTGATTTATTGTACATAAATCAAATAATTATTTTGTGATAATAAGAAAGATGAAACATATTATAGGTGATTACCGGTCTTTATGTTTTGGAACTTTTGTAACACATGCAGGGAATATTCGCTTCCAATAATAAATATTGCCGTCCCACTTAGAATTTATCAGTTTCATAGCGAGACTGAACCTTTTAGCAATAGTGTGAAATGTAGCTATATATGGCATGATTTGATCATAACCCTTGTAACATACATCATCTAGGAGTGGATCCATAATGTGCACATTTTTCTTTTGCATGTCCATTATGAATAAAGTATATAGTCCATCTCGATAATATGGTAGTAGAATCTAAAAACATAGACATAGAATATAAGTGTTTAAAAAAAGTATAATACATATAAATAAAATATAAAGGAGTACACTGAACATATCTTACATTGCTGCAATCTTTAATTTTGTATTTTATGTCAGGCCAGCACTCGAGCACTTTTGCCAGTTTCTTGTGGTCTAGTTTGCCACAACATCGCGGATCTCGTCCAAACTGGGTTATGGACGGTTGATTTTGCAAAATTTTTAAGTATTTGATTAATTATAGAATTAAGAATTAGATGAACTTACAACAAACTGGAGATCCATAAAGTGGTATTTTTGTTTTTGATTCTTCATCAACAAGAATTTATTCTGCGCAGCCATCCGAATTGCTATATTGAAGCAATCATGATCCATCTCTTTGTTCTCATCTAAAATATCTCTAATGTTTCTCGCATTTAAAGAAATTGGATATGGTCGTGTGCTTCAGATCCATTCTTTGCTAAAAAAACAAGAACAAGCAACAAATTACTTATTCTAGCAATTCTTTCACGGGCAATGGAAATATCCAAATTAGAAAAAAAAACAAATTTCTTTAGAATGACTTGCTCCAAAGGTTCACCATTGGCCATCAAATGGATGTTTGCGCAAAGTGCAGGCAATAGGTCTGTCTTGTTTGTCCATATTATTGTACCCGACAGTAAAAAGAC